GCTCACTTAACAAAGGGATCTAGTGGTGAGCCATCTCTACTGTGGAGGTTAAATAGGATGAATTCCACCCTCATTCTTTGCAAAGCAATTGAACCAGCCAGGTGTGCACTGATTTTTTTTTTTTTTTTTTTTTTGTGGATGAATTTCTAAATCTTACACTCTGCTGTAAGAGGAGATCTCTCTGCAGAGACATCCAGGCTTTACTGCCTGCGGATTAAGCAGAGTCCCGGCAAGCACAAGTAGCTAAATCCCTGCTCACCTTTCCCTTAGGTTTGGCATGGAAGGAGCCCTTTCTGCAGCTTGTATCTAATCTGAGTCAAAGGACTGTACCACACTGTATTTAAATAGGACTAAAGTAGGGACTCGTACCAGGATTAAATCTCTGGGCACTGCAGAACCTGAATGCTTCTCTGCCTGCACACATGTGATTTCCACGCAGACCCATCTTGCCATGCAGGACAACAAACACATCCCTCTCTGACGACATCCCTTTTCCAAACCCTCTTGTCCATTCTGAATAGGGATACGAGGATATTATTTTTATCCCAATTGTGTAACCAGTCTAAACAGGTGTAAACGACAGTACATAGTTCATCTAAGAATCACTGGGTGACACAGAATAGGGCTAGAATGGACCTAGAGGCATTCTGTCCCTCTGTTGTGGGGCAGGATCAGCTATTCTCTGTCATTCATGGTGGATCTAACATGCTTTCTGAGCTCACCTGAGCAGGTTTCTAGCCTATTCTCAAAAACCTGCAGGGACAGAGTACTAGGTAGACAGCCTATTCCTTGCTTCTCTATTGACAGTACTGGAAAGCATTTCCAATGCCTAATCTAAAACTTCCTGGCAGCAAAATAAACCAACTCATATTCCTTCTACTCATTCTTGCTGCTCTTCTGAACCCTTGCCGATTAGTCCATACCTTTTTCAAAGTGCGTTGCTAAAACTGGAGTCGGTGTTCCAGGAGGTATTAGCAGCACTGAACAGAGCTCAGCCCCTCACATCTTTAAGACAGCAGAAGTTTCTTACACATAACATCACCACTTACATACTCCAATATGGCATGGGCTTTTCTTAAAACAGGTAAGACAGATGATATTAGGAAAAATTTCTTCACTGAAAGGGTTGTCAAGCATTGGAACAGGCTGCCCGGGGAAGTGGTGGAGTCACCATCCCTGGAGGTATTTAAAAGATGTGTAGATGTGGCGCTTAGGGACATGGTTTGGTGGTGGACTTGGCAGTGCTAGGTTAATGGTTGGACTTGGTGATCTTACAGGTCTTTTCCAACCTAAACGATTCTCTGGTGCTATGATTCTGGTTCAGCTTTGGATCTGCCAGTAACCCAGATATTTTCTACAGAACTGCTGCCCAGTTCTCTGTCCTGTGTCTGTAGCTGATCATTTCTGCTCTGCACTCAAGAGCATGACGTCAGAGCAGCCATATGGAGTCCAGCATCAGCTCAGCATCCCCTGGCATTTGCAGCAGCAGAAGCCTAGGGAAGAGCAGAGGACCAGGGCCAGTATAAGGCAGCACTTCCCCCATACACCCTCTAAGCTTCTAGCAGTGTGTGGCTCAGAGCTTGCCTGAACGTCGTGTTGCATCTTTGTGTTTAAAAGCCTTCGATAGATTTTCCTTTAGTAAATTTGTTTGACTGCTCATTGACCTACTGGCCTTGTCCAAGTGCCTTCTAATGATTCAGGCCATTTGTCCCATGTGTCAAGATCATTTTTTAATTCTAATCTCAATCTCCAATACACTTGTGGTCCTTCCCAACATAACGTTGTCTGCAATTTTAGTGAATGCACCCTCTGTTCCAGCATTCAGCACATTAGTGAAACACTGAATGGTAGCAGACCCAAGACAGGAGCAGGCCTTTCTACCATAGTTCTTTTAGTCACATGGATCTTTATAAGGTTACTAAGTCTAAAATGTGGCTGCAGCTTTGGGCAGCACCTTGCTTCAAAGGTGCTTCTTTTCTTGGCAATTCCAGTCCTGTTTTTCCTGAAAACGCATTAGTCGCAGCGGAGCCTGACACCCTCACGCATCCCCACTGGCAGGGTTTTAGGTAAGCTGAACTGGTGCGTCTAATGTCACCGATAAAAAGGCTTTTTGTTGCTGCGCAGTGACCTCTCTGTCTGTTTGAAGAAGTGCAGCAAGGCCGTCAAGCAAAACAGAGCTGTGGGTGTACAGCCAAGGAAGATGCAGAGGAATTTCGGGGACCCAGCTGCAACAGGAAGAATTGTAAATACTGTAAACGTCAGTGTAGCAACACCTACATTTCTTCTGAGTGCAGGAGGGGTTGTTGCTGAACTGAAGACCTTTCTTGTATTCTAAGAAGTGATGCCTTTGTCTGGAATATCTTCACCCATCTAATCCAGTCTAACATACTCCATTATTTGTGAACAGATCAGACCCGATAAGCTCCACTGATGATCAAAGCTCAACTCTTTCAAGTACCAATTTTGGGATCTGGGATTCTGGCTTAGTACACTGCCAACGTAGATCTAAATTACACATTTTGGCTCGAGATCCAAAAGGCTCCAAGGATTGCCAGGGACTGAAAGGCTGAATTGCGTAACCTAAACACACCTGAAAGAGTCAAACTGATGGCTTGGTTTTCTGAAGTCAATTCCCAATTAACAAGAAGGTTTAGTACCTAGAGATCAAATCTTTATTGCCCTGAAACTCCCTGGGAAAAGAACTTGAACAAAACCAGTTAGAGCTACAGTTTCCACCTGGGTGGGTGGAATGAGGGGCTACAAAGTCTCAGCTCCTGTTTCGGTCCTAAATTCCAGCCCAGATTTGTGAAGACACAAGCTGATCACAGGCTTGTCATGCATCCTCTCTCCCAGTGCAAGAGCCTTCGTGCCAGGAGACATGCCGGGGAAGGGGGCACTGGGCACAGACTGCCCTGCCAGGCCTCTCTGCAGTGCCAGGTCTTGCTCAGTCGTTTAGTCTTCAATTTTCCAGTTTCTCTCTACCAGGATATGTATATATATTTTAGGACCCACTCCCCTGCATCCAGCAAATGATGTAAAATATCACCACTACTATGTGACCTTCACAGCCTTTCACAAAGGTTAGAAAAATGCACTGGTGCCGTCCCTTACGTCACAGCCCAGCCTCACCTCTCTTCCTCCAGCCTCACCTCTCATGTATTTCCACTGACTGCACCTGGCAGGAGACTTAGCTGCAGGCAGGATCTCCTCCCTTTTCATACAGCTCAATGGGAGTTGCCACGATGGGCTGAAAACGTACTGTTTGCTTAGAGAAAGAATGGCCAAGTATCAGCTGTCATCTGCCATTTTAATCCAAGACACAAACAATTAGTTGAGCACAGTCATATCCAGATGCTAATATTTGATGGAAGTGAGTAACACTCCAATAATTCACAACTAGCTGAGATGTGTCTTCTACAAGAAAGGCTTCTTGTGAGACTGCAGACACCTGCCTAGAAAATTCTCCTCAAATGATACTAAAAGCCTCATCTATAAAAACACAGGACTTCCGTCAGTCCTTGGGGATTTACACATCCATTTTAGATGTCGGTCGGCACCTAAAAAGACCCTGCTGCAGGGGGAGCACCTTTTTAACCTACCACTCCGGAATGTATTAACCCTGGCTGGATGCGAGAGGTGCTTGAAGGGGCTGCCGGCACAGAAGGCAGGTGAGGAACACTATGTTTTTCTTCAAACGACGCTGGTTTTTGGGAAAAAAAAAAAGAATGCATTTTCTAATCTAGTTCATCACAAAGCATCAGCACATGACATAATTATCTGTTTATATGGCACCACAGGAAATTTTCAGCACTGGTACCTTGGTGAAGTGCTTCTTGCAAAGCCTACACCAGTTAAAATATCACTAACTTAGTCCTGGGATTTGTTCAGGGTTTTCTGAGTTTAAATGAGTTTTAAAAGCAACCCAAGTTAAAAGGATGCAAAACCTTGTCATGTCAACACTCCTAGTCTCATTTAAAGCTTTTTCAACTTGATATTGATTTAGCTTCACTCCACATCAAATCGGTGTTCACACAGGAGCCTTGACCTATTTAACCGATGCATTTTTAAATAATATCTCCCATTTCACAGCTGCAACTCTGAATATAGACCTACAGGCAAAGCAACCTGACGGTCTGTCTACCTTAGCAGTTGTGCCAAAGGGTTTCTACCCCGACCCCAGTAAATTGAGTCAACCGCGGAATTTGTAAGAGGTTTCAATACTACTACAGAAATATTCATTTTTCTAGAACAATCTCTTTAAAATAAAACCAAATTGAAGCACACCTACTAACTGGATGTTTTTAGCTGCATATTACACTACGGAGAAGGAGCCAAATGTTCCCCTGTCACTCAACCCACTGCTAAAGATGTAAGTTGCTCTTTTTGTACTGTGGTTTGTAAAAAGAGGGGCTATCTTTTATCAGGCCAGCTGCCACTGAGAAAAAAACAGATAAGCTTTTGGGCAGAAGCCCCTTCTTCAGGTCTAAAATAGCAGCAGTAGTCTTGAAGGTGAAAAACAGCAGAGAACAACTTATAAATTTAATTAGATTACGTAAGCAGCTAGACCATCTGAAACAAAAAAAAAGTGCACTGATATCTGGAGCAAAGGAAGGGATAGCAGGAGGGGAGGAGATAAAACACAAGCTCCTCTGCCACACGCAAAGCAAGCAATGAGTAATTTACTGCCTGAGGAGGGTGAGGGACAGGGAATCGTATCCTGTGCCCTGGTGTCTCTGTCAAGCTTGGGATCGTTAGCAGCATTAACCATTTTAGGTCCCATGATGTCTTTTGAAGGTATTTTGTCAATGTCCCCTAAGAATCAGGGTTCAAGGGAGGTCTACATTTATTTCAACCGTGACAAGCTGCTGCAGAAAAGTATGTGCAAGGGGGGAAAAAAGAGGCCTAGGTATTACTGTCCTTCTGCCTTTCATCTCGACCCTGGCTGCTGGGCTTAATCTCACTTATCTGTGGAAAAATAAGAAAAATAGACCTGCCCCAACCAGTCCTTTCGCAAGCGCAGAAGTGGTGTCTCTGAACATACCCATTTCGATTTATCTGAGGGAGCAATAACAGGAAGAGCCTAACAGCTTCTTAATTATTTCTCCATTTTAAAAAATATAATTTATTTGGAGAAGGCACAGCACTCAGTACAGTGAATACATGTCACAGCCCTTACACGGTGTCAGGAGCTCCTCAGCAGCGAGTGAGCACAGCCCACATTGCAGTAGTCACTACAGATGACGGAGATCATAGCGAAACACCCTATAGGTGAGAAGGCAGCAGCTGGAGGCGGTCAGGACAGCCGACAGACACGTTATCAGGCTGTTAATGGAGTGAGCACAGCGAATGACCCAGCGGCACTCCCAACCGCGCTGGGAGACACGCAGCAGCGCTTCCTCGAAGTGCCTGGGAAGGGCTCGGAGAGTTTCTCCTTGAAAACCGAGCTTGCGCCAGAGCTGAAGAGCAAGATTCACGCCCAGGTCAGTGGAAAAAATCAGCAAGAGGAAGAAGGCTACAGCCGCTGGGCAAATCTGCCAGTCAAAGCACAGCGAAGCCCACCGCAGCGACGGACCGCCCTCAACCCCTGCCCTCGGCTGAGGGCAAAGAGGGCTGGCCTTACGGCCGCAGCTTCCCCTGCCTCGTCAGCACAGGCATACAGCCCCCTCCCGCCGGCCCGGCTCTACTGGCGTGTGCGGGGAGGCGGTTTGTGCCGCAGAAGCCTTCTCCCC